AAAAAAAAAAAGAGTAGGGGAGGCTGGGTGTGGTGGCTCACACCTGTAATCCCAGCACTTTGGGAGGCCGAGGTGGGTGGATCCTTTGAGCTCAGGAGTTCGAGACCATTTCGAGACCAGCCTGGGCAACATAGCGAAACTCAGTCTCTACAAAAAAATATAAAAATTAGCCTGGCATGGTGATGCATGCCTGTAGTCCCACCTACTTGGCGGGCTGAGGCAGGAGAATTACTGGAGCCCAGGTGGTTGAGGCTGCAGTGAGCCACGTTCATGCCACTGCACTTTAGCCTGCGTGACAGAGCAAGAACTTATCTCAAAAAAAAAAAAAAAAAAAAGAGTAGGGGAAATCAGCCCCCATGATCCCCAAAGAGCACATGTGAGGAAGATTAGTTAACTTCCTGTGCCTCCCTGTTTCTCCTCCAAGGTGCCATTCCATATATCTCTCAGGTTCCTTGGAATACATTTTGAAAACCACTGACCTAAAGCAACAGAGGACAGGGGTCTATCTGGAGCAGCTGAGAGAAGCCTATCAGCATTCCAATTTTCCATCTTCAAAAAATAAGGAGAGCCTTCCCTTACCAGTCACTCAAACGTTGGGCCTGTGGCTCTGTAGTCACTATGGGCCTATGACAAAAAGAACCAGTGCTGGCCAGGTTCAGTTGCTCACGCCTGTAATGCCAGCATTTTGGGAGGCTGAGGTGTGTGGATCACTTAAAGTCAGGAGTTCAAGACCAGCCTGGTCAACATGGTAAAACCCTGTCTCTACTAAAAATACAAAAATTAGCTGGGTGTGGTGGTGCACCTCATCCCAGCTACTCAAGAAGCTGAGGCAGGAGAATTGCTTGAAGGCAGGAGAATTGCTTGAACCCGGGAGGCAGAAGTTGTAGTGAGCCAAGATCATGCCACTGCACTCCTGCTTGGGCGACAGAGCAAACTCTGTCTTAAAAAAAAAAAAAAAAAGAAACAAACAAAAAAAGAAACAGTCCTTGGCCAGGCATGGTGGGTGGCTCACGCCTGTAATCCCAGCACTTTGGGAGTCCAAGGCAGGCGGATCACTTGAGGCCAGGAGTTTGGGACCAGCCTGGGCAACATAGTGAGACTCCATCTCAATTTTTTTTGTTGTTGCCCAGGCTGTAGTGCAATGGTGTGATCTCAGCTCACTGTAACCTCCGCCTCCCGGATTCAAGCGATTCTCCTGCCTCAGCCTTCCGAGTAGCTGGGACTACAGGCGCGTGCCACCATGCCTGACTAATTTTTTGTATTTTTAGTAGAGACAGGGTTTCACCGTGTTAGCCAGGATGGTCTTGATCTACTGACCCTGTGATCTGCCCACCTCGGCCTCCCAAAGTGCTGGGATTACAGGCATGAGCCACCGCGCCTGGCCCTCAATTTTTAAAAATAAAAAATAAAAAAAGAAGCATTTGTCCATCCAGCCCCAATCCCTGTGTGATCTCAGTTCTCACCTGCTTTGGCAAAGTCTTCCCGGTTATAACTGAAATCCTTGAGGAAGGTGATACTCTCACTCCCAGGGTTGTACCTCCGAGATGTCTCCAGAAGCATCACCTGCACACAAGCAGCAGACCTCAAACGGGGACTAGGAAGGTTGGTCTTGGAGCATAGCCCCTTCCAGGGAGGCCGATTCCCCTCATCCCTGCTTCCCAGCAGATTTGGTTCTCCCAGCTTGATGTCTGGAGGCCCCTCCCACAGACAATCCCATTCTGCTTCTCCCTTCATCCCTTGCCCTTCTCCAGCCACCTCGATCGCAGAGGTCTTCAGCAGGGCAATCTGGTCCTCCCGGCTGAGCTGCAGGAAGCCGGGTAGCTGTTTAGCAAAGTCAACTATCTCCTGCACAGAGACGATGGCCAGCTCAGTGAAGTGGGCAAAGCGCTGCTGACGGGCCTCCCGGCTATGGGGATCTGGTGCCATGGGCCAAGGCTACCCAGGAGGGAAAAGGCAAAGCGCTTTGAGTCGGACATCAAGAAGCCCACTGGTGATCTGGGTGCAGCCGCCTCTCCCCAGGTGTGTCAAGTACCGTGACTCGAAGCCGGTCAGAAAAGGAGCGCCGGTTACACTGTTGCTGGGCAGCGACCAGCTTCTCGATCATGCCCAATTGCTCCGGGCTGAGCTGGGGCAGGATTTGAGGGGGTGAGGAAGCCCTGGGGGGCAGGGATACGGCATGAGCCTGTTCCTCCTCTTGCCGCTTCAGTTTCTTCAGACGGATCTGTTCTTCTGACAGGACACCTAAGGACAGGACCAAATATGAGGAGACAGGAAGCAAGGATGGGGCAAAAGGGGCGGTTTGGGGCTCCAGAAAAACAGACAGCACTGGGTAAACCCAAGAAGTTTTTTTTTTTTTTAAACAGAGTCTCACACTTGTCCAGTCTGGAGTGCAGTGGTGCGATCGCAGCTCACCGCAACGTCCGCCTCCCGGGTTCAAGTGATTCTCCTGCCTCACCCTCCTGAGTAGCTGGGATTACAGGCGCTCACCACCACACCCGGCTAATTTTTGTATTTTTAGTAGAGACAGGGTTTCACTACGTTGGCCAGGCAGGTGTCAGACTTCTGACCTCAGGTGATCCGCCTGCTTCAGCCTCCCAAAGTGCTGGGATTACAGGCATGAGCCACCGCGCCCGGTCAAGAAATATATTTTAATCCATACTTAGGGATCAGTTGGCCCCTACAAGTTCAGGCACCTGTCCTGGGTCACACCCTGGCCCCCTCTTTTCCCCTCAGCCTCTTCCCCCCCCAGCCCCAGAAACTCACACTCCTCCCGCATGCCAGCCTGGCGGCACTTGCGAAGCCGACACTCCTGGCACTTGCGACGCATGTAGGTGTCCATGGGGCAGTGGCCGCCACTGTGGCAGACGTATCGCGCTCCCTTGATGACACTGCGGCGGAAGAATCCCTTGCAACCCTCGCAGCTCAGAACATTGTAGTGGAAGCCGGAGGCCTTGTCCCCACAAACGCTGCATAGCTCATTCCCCAGCATTTTGGGGGCTGGCCCCTTTTTCCGCTTTTGTGGACGGATCTCTGGTTACAGGAAAGTGTTTCAATGCTCTCCCCCAAGGAAAAAAGTTCATGTTCTCCCTGACTCAGTCACTGCCCTGGGCACTCAGTGACCTTCATTCCCTTCATTATACAAACTCCAGTCTCTCTTTTATGAGAAGAGTAGCCCTCATTGGCCAAGTGCCATTATGTTCTAGGTACTGTATGAGCTTTTTATATGCACTGATCCTTATGACAAACATAATTTTTTTCCATTTTATAAACAAGGAAATTGAGGCTCAGGAAGGCCTAAAGTAGAGACAGAATTCACACTTAGATCAGTCAGATTTAGTTAGCTCTAAAGCCTTTGGACTTAACCATGAGATTACATATAAAGTAAAAACCCCCAAGGAACCTCTTCCAGATCCAGGACCTGGAATCTGGACCCCTACCTCCTCCAAACCCAGAAGCTCCTCACCTGTGGGTTCTGAAGGGGGCTCCGCCCTGGTGAGCAGAACTGTGGGCTCTGCAGCCTCCAGCCCCACCCCTGCAGTGCCTGTGGCAGAGTGGGGCATCCTGGCTTCCTCTCTGAGGATGCGGCTGTTGCCTCCCTGGGTCTGGCTGCTTGCATCCTGTGCACCTGGCTTCCACAGCTCCGCTGCAGAGTCTGAGCTCCAAAGGAGAGGCACATGGGGGTCTCAGGCTCCATCCCCGCTCCATAGCCCAGTGTCCTAGCTGGGAAACTGAAAACTTATCCCCACCCTTAGAGGGCAGCGAAGTCCCAGCTCAGGCTTTGGGACCCTAGCGTCTGTGTGGGCTCTAGCTAGGACTAGTCACTTGTAGTTTCTTACATCTCAAGACCTTAAATGAAGATGTTAACCCTCGTCTCTTTGCGGGGCTGGAGTGTATGCATTTCAGAGATCAGATAAAACTCTTCAAAGCCAGAGCATGGTAAGCACTCAGCTGACCAACTCTTTAGCAGCAAACCCAGATTGGGAAGGACTGGGCGGGAGCCCGCAAGGGCCAGGCACTGGAACCGGGGGAGAGGCAACCACGACTAAGAATGAATCTGGACTGCTCTCTGGAGGAAGGAAGAAGGCAGGTAATGAAGCAGACTGATTCCTACGGGGAGGCGAGGAGCCTGCGGTCTGGGCTCAGGGGAGAGGGCTGGAATGAAGCTTACCAGGAGGAATGTCAGGCACAGGGGCCCCCAGCCACACGGACATCTCTTCCTGGAGCCCTGGTCATTACCAAGGCACTGTCCTGCAGGAAGGACTCAGGTTATACTCTTCTAGAACTGGCCTCCTTTCTGGCCTCAGCTCCCTTCTCCAGCTGATCCTCCCTTTTATCAATACCAACAATATCAGCTAATATTTACTTGCCATATATTAGCCTGTACTAAGGCTTTATTATATTACTATTATGTTTTTTAGAGACAGGTTCTCCCTATGTTGCCCAGGCTAGTCTAGGAACTCCTAGGCTCAAGGGATCCTCCCACCTGGGCCTCCCAAAGTGCGGGGATTATTGGAGTGAGCCACTGCGCCCAGCCTATTATAAGGCTTTATGTGCTTTCCTCATAATATCCCTCCGAGGTCAAGACTAGTCTTTTTTTTTTTTTTTTTGAGATAGGGTCTCTTTATGTTGCTCAGGCTGGAACTCAGTGCTATTCATAGGTGCAATAATGGGACACTATCGCCTCAAACTACTGGGCTCAGGCAATCAACTTTCAGCTTCCTGAGTACCTGAGATTATAGGCGCATGCTACTGCTCCCAGCTCAGGACTATTCTTAACCTCATTTTACAGATAAGCAAACTGAGGTTCAAAGAGATTAAGTAACTATGGTCACACAGTTAGGCGGCGGTAGAATCAAGACTCCAACCCTCGTCTGACTCCAAAGTCTGGGCTCCCAGTCACTGTACCAGCCTTTCTCCCCCAAAGTCCCCTCCAAACCAGCGGGGAATGTTTGGGTACATCTGCCCTGCTTCTCTCGGGCCCCTTCCCCCTCCAACACTGAGGACAGCCAAAGTTGAGCAGGACCAGGAGACGGGATCGAAGCTCGCTCCACCCAGTGAAACACGCTGCTTATTAGAGAACCTTGCTCATGCCACTCTCCAGGGTCCCAGCACAAATCTCTTGTCTCCAAGAATCTCCCCAATTCACATAGAGGACCTCCTCCCCCGAATCCCTCATGAGTTATTCTGGGACCCAGAGTCCTGTTCCTTTCCCAAGCTTCCATCACCATCACCCCTCACTTCTCCCCAGAAACCCCCTTCTAAGATCCATAGGACATTCGCCAACCCCACCCCAGATACACACACAGAGCCCCAGGCCACTGCTAAGGAGCAGACCCACCGAATCCCCAGGCCACCAGACTTCCTGGGTGGACAGTCTCTGGAGCCCCCTTGCTGGGAGAAGAGGATGGTGCAGTTCCCTGTCCAGAGGTCTCGGTGGCCAGCCGGTGAGCTGGAGCTGAGCACAAGCAGGACCTGGAGCCCCAGGGAAGTAGCAATTTGGGGAAAGGCTAGGGGAGGGACTGCCGAGGGGTCAGGCCACCCCTCCTTCCTGCCTGACGACCGCAGCCCTCCCCTCCTCACCCCCGCCCACAGGGCAGTTTCTCCACCAGGCTGGCTCCTCCCCAGCCGGCCACCCCCTCTCCCGCCACTCCCATCCCCTACTCCTGGTCAAAACAGTGGCATTTCGCTGCAGACCTGCCAAGTTCCATGTCTCTCCCCTTCCTCTCCTTACCCAGCGCTCTTAGCAGCTCTTGCAAAAGGACTGCCTCCCAGGAACCCCTACCCCAATCCCAGCAGCCTCCAGAGTCGGTGTTCCCTCCCTTCCATAGGCACCTCTCGGAGCAAAGGTCCCAGCAGGGCCCGGAATTGCGACACTGAGCCCCAGCCTGCTTTCCCAGCCTCCCTCCTCCTCCCTTGCCTCTGGGAAAAGGCCAAGAAGCTCTCCCCACTAGCCCTAGGCTTCAGCCAAGCTGGTAGAAATCCAGGGGTGCAGAGAGGCAGGTGCTGGGCCTTCCAGGGAGTTTCTGAAAGTGGGTGCCCTGCAGGGGCCACAGATAAGAGAGGAGGCCAGGAGAGCCTTTGGTAGGAAATCTGCTATGAGCAATGGCAGGCCTGGGATAGGGGTGGGGGGGTGGCAGAAGGCAGGCAGGCAACTCGGGTGGCAGCCCAGGATGGACCTGGGAAGGTATGAAGGTTGCCTCATCTGGGGAACAACCCTATCTGAAGTGATGGCAGGCTCCAACCAGCAGCTACTGAGACTATAGCCATTCTTCCCACTCTGTTGCCTGGGGCATGAAATCCATCCCGGAAAGTAGACATCATATTTTATTGATTTCATTTTCCCCAAAACCCCTGAAACAGGGCTGGCATAGAGGAGGCAACAGAGTAGGTACTGTGTTCCTATTTGTTGAATGAATAACAAGAAAAATATTATTCTCATCTATCCCCTACTTGTTAGCCCTAGTCAATTTTTTTTTATTATTCCTTTTTTTTTCTTTTTTGGGGTGGGGTCTCACTACGTTGCCCAGACTGGTTTCACACTCCTGGGCTCAAGCCATCTTCCCACCTCAGCCTTCCAAAGTGCTAGCATTACAGGCACGCACTCACAACTGCTGTAGTCAATTTCAACTCAGCATGTTGATTTAGTGTTCAGACTCTGGGCTCAGATTTTGGGTTCAAATCCTAAACTTCTTAGTACCTATGTGATCTTGATTGAGCAAGTTACTTAATGTCTCTGAATCTTTGTTTCCCTATCTTTAAAACAGGAATATTCGAGCCAGCAATGGTATGTTGAAAAATAAATAGGCTGGGCATGGTGGCTCATACCTGTAATCTCAGCACTTTGGGAGGCCTAGGCAGGTGGATCACTTGAGGTCAGGAGTTCGAGACTAGCCTGGCCAACATGGTGAAACCCCGTCTCTACTAAAAATACAAAAGTTAGCCAGGCATGGTGGTACGGATCTGTAATCCCAGCTACTCGGGAGGCTGAGGCAGGAGAATCACTTGAACCTGGGAGGTTGCAGTGAGCCAAGATTGTGCCACTGCACTCCAGC